TTTTTTTTATTTCACTTTAAAAAAAATGATATTAACAATTGTGCAAAATATAAACTTTCTTAGAGCTTGAGCCCCAAACAATCCTCAAATATAACACTTTGGACTCATCTATAACGTATAATATATGAACTTTTTAAATGATTTTTTTTTTTTGCCCATAATAACATCAACAATTCTATTATACGTCTTAGATATTAATTTTTTGATTATTTTAAATATTGTTTTGTTAATACTCACAATGTGCAACTATAGACCATGAATTTAGCCTTATGTGAGCACTACTATACAAACATTTTTCTTCCACAAATCTTCAAGGCAATAACAATGAGTGATTTTTAAGTTTGTAGTTAGAAATTATATTATAATTATGGTATAATAAAAATAAAAAATCAAGGAGAATGGGATGAAAGGTGTTGGGTAGGATTGGGGCAGAGAGGGAATGATTGGGCCTTTGTCGGCCTAACGACAAGGGCCCGTCAACTACAAAGACATGGCCCACAATCTATCATCGGCTCTTTCTAGTTTCTACCCACCACCATCATCAATCATCATCAACGTCATATCCATCTGAGTATGTTTTGCCGCAGCTTCAAAATCCACACCAATCCAATCATCCATCTACCCTAAGCACGCAAAATACGTATGTATTCCCCTTTCTCTTCAACATAAGCTCCAACACTTTGAGTGCAACAGGAAACATGAAATTCCGGTAACGATCGGAGACTGAAAACATGAAATTCCGGTAAAGATCGGAGCTTCGCGCCGAATCAGAATGGCCCAGAAATCGGTCTTCATCACTTCTCTCCCTGGATTCTATGGGTAGAGAGAGAGAGATGAGTAAAGTGAGAGGTGAATTTGTTTAGTTTTCAGCTTGGGGTGAAATGCAGAGTAGTGCTGGATTTCGAGGGATGTTTAGTGGCTTAATTAATTATTTTTTTCTAATTACATTTTCAGATTACTTCTTAATTTGGATCTTATTTCTTTTTAAGTTATTGAGTTAATTGGGTTTTTTATAATCCATCAAAAATGGATATTGTAATTATGGGGAAACATGGAGGGCAGGAATGGAATCGGAAGCCTACAAAAAGAAAAAGCATGGGATGTTTGGCGTGGGGCAGAGAGACACCATGATTATGGTTTTTGCATGCGTCTCGATTCTACCCTTATTATTTATTCTCTAATATTTTCATTTGCCTTTTAAATAATTTGAAACAAATACATATGATTAGTTACAAAGTATATACTTCCATCGCCCCTCTTTCCTGTGCTCTGTTTAAACTTGTTATTGTTTTAACCCACAAATAATCAATGCTCAAGGGTGAATATAACTCTTGTGTAATAATCTATAAACAATACATGAGAGATAATTTTATTAGAAAGATTATATATGTTAAATTTGATTGAAAGAACTTTGACAATAATCAAATTTTTGATTTATTGGTACAAAATTTCTTAATACTATGAATACACATAAGAAACAAACCTTTGACCATGTAGTGCCAAAGCCCATGTTATAGAAGATGGAGCGTTATGCTATGCAACTGTGGTGCACACGGTTGCAAAAACGACGTAGTTTTAACGTCTGACTTATAAAAAAAAACAGTTTCGATTGTCGTTAACGGCGTAATGTTGTGCATAATTTGAACTATATAGTTCATTCATTCTGGATATATAATTTATTAATTCTGGATATATAATTCATTAATTCTAGATATATAGTTCAAATTATGCACAATATAACGCCGTTAACGGCAATTGAAACTGATTTTTTTAAAGTCGAACGCGTCGCTTTTAATTAAAACAACGCTGTTTTTTTCAACCGTATGCATCATGGTGCACACGGTTGCACGGCATAATTTGCGATAGAAGATGCTATAGATGTTTCAAAATAAATAAATAAATGTTGTAGCTTCTATCACTTTGACTGCCATGGGCTCCTCATACAAATGTAGGAACAAAACTATATAAATATATGTATATATATATACATACAATGTTCTTTAAGGATTAATGCAAGCCGTTGAGACCAATAGAAAGGCCCATATGAATCCTTCAATTGAGGCCCACAACATGAATTGGACCACCACCAGTGGGCTGGCATTTTTGTTACCATATTATATCAGGCAATTTACATCATGGACCAGGATTCACAGTGCACTGTGGACCATACTCCAATATGTAAAATTTGACTTCATAAAGTAAATAATTCATGTTCATAATGTACATAATTATATAGTTGATGACACATAAACACTTAACATAATACATATAACATGAACACTTAACATAATACACAGAATTTAAGTTCATAATGCATAGAATTCATGTTCATTATATTGTGTTTATGCGTATGTGTATTACGAACATGAATTTTGTACCTTATAAAGTCAAATTCTGTGTATTGGACAAGGTTTGTGGACCCTGGTCCCCCTACCTCAAGGAGTATCTCCGCCCCTGATGTGTTCTATGTCAACTAAAAGTCTAAACTGATAATTTTTTTGGTTTGAAAGAGTCTAACTGACAGTTAAATTACACATTTATGTTTACGTATAAATGTATAACATATGCTCAACATCTGATATTTGTAGTCTACTAGAATTTTCTTTCTGTCTTTCTATATAATTATTGTATAAACTTGTATTACATTGATTACTAAAATTCCAATCCTCATCAGAGTTACCTAGCAATCAAGGGTGACCTTAAATAGAAGTGGAGTCCTCATTTTCAGTCATACGGCACACCCCTACAGATAAGATTATGGGCAGTAAAAATACTTCTCCAACAATAGCTCAAATTATTATCTAGAGACATCAATAAAAGAGGAGTGATGGTAGTACCTTGCAAAATAATTCCTTTTAAATTATTTTCTTAAAAAAACAATGTAGAAGTCGGTAGAAGTGAACATGGATGATTAAAAGAGTCTCACATGATATCTGACAATACCCATTCAACTTTGTCACGTGCTAAACATCTCCCCAGCATACCCCCACTTTTACTTTATCTCATGTTAACAAAAGTTTGAATTAGTAGCGACGAAAACGGTGATAATTAATGTGGGAGTAGTATGATGGTTGTATTTGAATATTACGAGTTTAATTTTTTTAACCGTTTACATGCGGTTAGTTTTTAATAAATTATTATATATATAATACAATTTTCTCGGTCCTTCGTCTCTAACTCCGATTTGCAGTTCACCTCTCGTTGGAGACGAAGTGCGTTTGCTGTTCATCTCCGACTGGAGACAAATTTTGCACTTTGTCGTTGGTCGGGGACGAATTTTGTAATGTAGGGAGTCAATTGCAATATTTTTTAGTTAATGGCTAATTGTATTTTTGTTTTTAGTTGATGGTTATTTTAAATAATGTTCTTTCATTTCAAACTTATTTTGTGAATTAAGCATTAGGCTAATAGAGTGTAATCAAAGGTTAAAAGGTAAAACTTTTTAAGCAACACGTGGCTATCATCAGGGCCGTTAGTCTGAGATTGTCGAGCTGTAATCGTTGTTCTTAAACGTGGGTTAAGGAATATAATAACATGTGATTAGAGGGGGTAGAAAAGCACTAATAATGGAGGTTTAAACTTTAAAATGAAGGCAAAAGGAAAAATGAAAAAAGAAAGTTGGAAAAATGAACAAAGTGGCACTGAGGAAGAGTACTACTTCACGTATTCTTTCAAGTTTTCTAGCTTCCAGAGTTGCCTGCAAGAGGTGTGGGTCTCACTTTATGCTCGGAAACAAAATTAAACGTTAATTGGTTAATTATAATTTATAAAATATATATATATATATATATATATATATATATATAAGTCACTATTTTTCGAGATTTAATTTAATGGTTCAATATTTATTCATAAAGTCCTACTCCAACGATAATATAAAGGTAATACATGTAATTTTTTTTTTAATATCTGTGAGTTTATATATTATTTTCCGCAACGGAAAATGAGGAGGCATGGAATCCGGCTGGAAACTTGGTCACAAATACAACAGGCATGGCGACACTGTCTGCTAAATATCACCTGCCATGTCAGATTCATAAACAAATTTAAACATCTGTCAAAATTACAAGAAGTTTTTTTTTTTTTTTTTTTTTTTAAAGAAAACCATTCATTAACTCAAGGTCGAAGATAAAACGTTACAAATAAAAGATGAAGGGCTAGCGTGCCACTCAAAGCAATCAGGCCTAGAAACAGCGTGCCTAGTTATGGACTATGGTATATACAACATCGTTAATTGGTCGTTTTACAAACTTAAAAAGATTTACAAAAATTCGCACAAAATGTTTTAAATATCTCTAAGAATCAGATGAAAAGAAGATTCTCCATTGATCAAGGTGAGGCTTTAGACGACCTCAAGAGAATCCGTTTCCACCTGGATATTGTCAAGATCCAACTGTTTAATCCATCTCAAAGCTTCTCTAATGACAGCAGCTTCAGCTTCCTTCGGTGAAAACACGCCGTTTCATTGGATAGCTCTAACTGCAATAAAGCTCCCATTTTCGTCCCTTAGAACACTGCCAAATCCCATCTCTTACAGTAGTGAAAGTATGAAAGTATGAAATGCTTTGTCGGATCGGGGTATAGGGGCCCTTAGGATTGGGGTTCAACCTTTTGAAAGAATGAAATGCTATACAAAAAGAGTTATACTATATGGACTCCCAAATTCAACTCTCCCATTTGTACTCCCTGAGATGACAAACCAGGATGGGTTATTTTCAACATGTGGGTCCACAGAAAAGTACCTACATCAAGAACATGTGAAATTGAAAGTATAAAATGGGAGTACATCAATTATTTTTCATACAAAAAATGTTAATATATTAGAAAGTGCTAAATTGCTGATTAGCACCAATGCTTATGCTACTAATTATAACTCGATATCAATATTGTAACAATTCATAATATAATTAAAAAATAACACATAAAATTGTATTTTATATTGGACTCATAAAAATTTGAAAATTATTATTATCACTAAAATACAAAATTGGAACAACATTCATCAATCAAAGCATTAAAACCCCCCTCGCTTTCAGCTCCATGGCCATGACTCCATAAAGGTTCAGTCTCTATATCTCTCTCTCCGTCACTTACTAAAAGCAGCGGTTACTTTTTCAAATTTTGAGGCGAAATACATTCACATTTTCTGTAATGGAAGCACGAGAATTCGTCATTGGCGGCGGCTTTTTGGGGGCTGCCGCCGGGGAGTCACAATATGGTTGCGAAAACCGTTACCTAGTGGAACATAAGTCCGCGGAGCACAGCCTCAATGCTAACAATTTCACCGTCGATGAGCTTCTCGACTTCTCAAAACACGACGAGGTCACCGCCGACGATTTCTTCGACGACAGTGCTGCAGGCCGCTCCTCCACCGTCGCTGCTGTCGACAGCTGTAAATCCGGCGGCCAATTCAGCGGTAATTTTAGCTGCGGTAGCTTCACCGACACCCCTTTCAGCACTTCCGAGCTTTGCATTCCGGTAATTACTCTCATTTTTAGTTTTTATGTGAGATTTTGAATTTTGGAATAAATTGAAATCAAATTCATATATTTTTTTCACAGTATGATGATTTGGCGGAGCTGGAATGGTTGTCGAACTTCGTGGAGGACTCATTCTCGAGCGACGAGGTTCAAAATCTTCAGCTAATTTTGGCCACAAAAACTTCCGCCACCGCCGCTGATTCTTCCTCCTCCGCCTCCGCCAGCGCCAATTGCAAGGAAATCGGCAACAATTATTCACTTCCGGCATTCCCTAATTCCGACGTCTCAGTTCCCGGCAAAGCGCGCAGCAAACGTTCCCGCGCCGCGCCCTGGGACTGGTCGTCCCGCATCCTGCTCCTTTCCCCAGAGAAGTCACAGTCGGAGAGCAAGAACAACGCATCGGCTCCGAAAGCGTCGGCGGCGTCTAAAAGAAGAGAAAGCTGCAACGAGACTCAAGGGCGGAAGTGCCTGCACTGTGCGTCTGAAAAGACGCCCCAGTGGCGGACCGGGCCAATGGGGCCTAAGACGCTTTGCAACGCGTGTGGGGTCCGATACAAATCGGGGCGTCTGGTGCCCGAATACCGACCCGCGGCCAGCCCCACATTCGTCTCCACCAAACACTCCAACTCCCACCGCAAGGTCCTGGAGCTCCGCCGCCAAAACGACCTCCACCTCCACCACCAGCAACAGTTGCTCAGTCAAGCCTCCATCTTCGGCGGCGATGCCTACTTGCTTCACCGTCAACAATCATGCGGCCCTGACTATACGCACATGATCTAGCCCCCAATCAGCTTCCAGTACGTACATTTATGCTCCAAGTAACATTATTGAAAAAGCAACTCCATCAATTTTCCTAATTTACGATATTACTCCTATCCTATCTCGAGGAAGGTGCAGTGAAGAACCAAATACAACTGAATTCAGAATTCTGTAATTCTTTCGCTAATTAATAATTACGTTAAGTTTTTCTTCATGTACAACAGCGTTACTTGGATTATTTCTTGTACTGTAGCTTGCTAACATATGAATAAAACTTTTGATTATTTTAAAAAATCATCGCCCGATCAAAATTGAGGAATTGAAGGTCGAACCCATAGATATTTTAGTGCTTTCTTGTATAGTGGTGCATGTTATCCGTAGGCTATGGAGGCGGGCATGTCTTGAAAGACGGGAAATTGCACATGGTGGGCTCAGAGGCTCAGACCTGCTTTCTCTCCTCTCCTAGCTAGGCTGCAAGCGCTGTACGTGATGGAATGAAAAAATGTGTTTGCTGCCAGGGTGCAAGTACAAAATCAATGTACCAATAAATAAATATCATGACTTACCTCTTTTATTAATCAATCCACATATTATAAAGAGAACAAAATAAGATTATATTTAACTTTTTGAATGCTAGTGACTCTATTACATTATAGTATCAGTTCAAATATATTTTTTTAATTTAATGAAGCACATTAAGGTTCGATCTCATGATCTCTCATATGAAAAAGGTCACAAAATGCCATCCGAGTATAAGGTGTTTGACAAGATTATATGTAATTAATTTAATTGGAAAATGAATGGGGAGTAGCTACTAGCTAGCTATACCTAGTACTGAAGAAGCTGGTTATGGGTTTCAGCAGGTAGACATGTGATACAATTTATTGAATATCGAGGAAATTAAATATCAGCCTGCGTACAGTGTACGATGAAACGTTACGTTGCTGCCATGGACGGCGACCGGCCACTATGTCTGTAAAGGTTGTACGATGGAACGAAGAGGTATCAATAAATTGAAATATTAGGTTTGTTTATACGTATTATAAGTCTGATTAATGACATTTATTTTTTCCAAAAATTAAAATTTCAATTTTAAGGGTTCCATACATGGACTTGACACTTTGACCGTCCAAGAGTATGTTGAATGAGATAAATTAAAGTGGATAAAACACGAATGATACAATGTAACTAGTGTAATTTATCTCTTTGGTATGATTTGTTAACTATTACATATGAACAAAATTATTTAATAATGCACATATTTAAATAGTAGTTACAGTTTCTCCCATTATTACAAAAGAACTCACAAATCACTTATTAATTATTGCTATAAAATTAAAAGAAATATAAACAGTACTTGAAAGTACAATGTATGTACATACGCACATATATATAATCGGGGATGCATGGGGCAGATCGAGCTAGACGGCGGCGACGTGTGCATGTGTTTTTTGGTATGGAGTGTGGAGGAGCGGCGACGAGGGGCGGTGGACTATATCAACGTTGTTTTGATCAGCTTGGAATTGGAAGAGACTTTTATAATAAATTATTTGTTATATATAAGTATATAATGAGTAGTATACAGTGTGCATATATAATAATATTGTAATAACAAGGAACGTATATAGAAAAGCATGCATGCATGTGAAGGAGGGGAAGCAGCACATGACATGAATAATATTCACACTGCATTTTCTGCACTGCACTGCACCTTGTTTTTGGATATATAATATATTTTTGGTAACAAGATGAATGCCATTATTGGTGTTATGGTGTACTGTACTGTGCACAGCCTCCCCTAGCTTTAATTTTATGTATGTATGGCTCCTTTTACATGCAACTCTCAAGCCATTCCTCACAAATCTGGCTTGGTTTCCTTGTCTCTTCTTTCTATATGTTTCCTTTCTAATTTATTTATTTTTTAAATTAGATTCAGCAATAGAAAAACTTTTCTTTTTTTTTTTTTAATCAAAAGGAGAAGTACCCTACACGGTGTCCTTAAAATTTTCATGTCATCGATAAATCTGGATAGTACGTGGTTAGAATACACATATTTATATTAAATATAACAAGATTTTTTATAATATGGCAAGACTATGTAATTGCTTCATTGAATTCAAAGGGGGTCGGTGAAGGTTAGAGTAGAAATTTTAAAAAGTGTAGTAAGAAGTCACTTTCATCTTATGGAATCCACTCTGTCACGTTTTCATGTCACATGGCCGGTGGATTTTAAAGAAAACAAAAACAATATAATAAGGATAGTTTGGTTCACGAAATGTTATATTATCTTAGGGAATGTTAGATTGCTGAGAATCTTAAATTTTTGTGTTTGGTTTAAGATTGATGTATTATATGTAATATCAATATGTTTGGTTGAAATTTAAAAAAAATACAAATAAATAAATATTATGACGATTATTTTACTTGAATACCATTAACCTATTTTATGAATAAATTTCAAAATTAAAATAAATAAGACAATGGTAAAATATAGAAATAAATGATTTAGAATTAATTAACTAAGGGCTTGAACAATAATTAACTAAGGCATTGGATTAAAAGGACAAAATTAACAACAAGACAAGGGAATGCGATAATATATACCTAACTAAGAACGGAGAGGGTGTCTCATACACCCTTGCAATAGCTACAAATTTTATGTTGAGGTTATGTTACCATCTCGAAAAAATTTGCATAACTTGAACCAAACATTATAATCTTATATTATCAAGCAAATATAACATTGGTTATCTAATATAACTTGAATCTAATGCCCCCCTAAGTGTACTCCTAATATTAAAAATTTATGTATAATATAACCTCCAAATTATATAAGTGGTCGAGATAAAACACACAATATATGTAATATTACTATTAAATTAAAAGGTTGTGTATTAAAAAAATCGCAATAATTTAAGAATACCCATTGCAATAATAAACTCGACCAAAATAAATTAATAATAATTAAATTTATAATCTTCTAACACGATAAATATGCTTTACCCACTCAGTTACTCTTAACAAAACTTGCTTTTTAAAGCAAAGTGACAAGTAGGTATATTTAGCCAACTAGTAATGAGGATGTAGTAACCAATAAGATGATGTGAATAGGCATGCATTATTCCAAAGTTGACTGTAATTAACATGGTAGCAGCTAAAGGTTGACTTCTTTGTGACAAATGAGTAGGTTTATAGCTTTTTACTTTGTTGAAATGGATTGATGATTAAAATATTTAGTAGCTGTAACATTTTTTTTTTTTTTATATACATCATTTTGTTTAAACAATACAAATCTACTATACCTTTATTAACAAACAAAACATACAAAGAAAGATGGTGATTGATATAACCAAATACTCAAAAGATTTGATAAACGAAAATCAAACCTATCGGTACAAAAAATACAAAATGATAAGAAAATAAGACTTTACGGTCTCGAGATGTCTTTCAGCCACAAGAATATAATCCACATACCTCAAGCTCGACTATGGTGTTGTCTCATTAGTTATTTTTTTATTAGATCATGAGGTGTTCTGAGTAAGTCCTAATTGTAGGAGGCACTTTAAGTCTGTACTATACTCAGACTAATTTTTATTCGCATGAAACAGACCTAATTAAGGAACAAAATGCTGATTAGATTGATTTTTCCATCCGTTGTTGTTTCCGGGCTTCCTCCTTTCAAATGTTTTCAAACAAATACATTCAACAAAAAAAAAAAAAAAAAACTTAAAATAATGGTCCACAAATTGGTGTGTGATCAATCATAGTTGTATTTAGGTGAGTGGACCAAACATTGAGCAAGTAGGCCTGCTTTTATTGCATGCCCTGCATTTAGTCTCTTCACTCTTTAGCTAAAAAATTCTGAAAAAAAAAATAAAATAAAGGCCCACACTCCATATTTGCCCCATATTGGTCCAGTTACCACCACCGATTCAATTCATTTGTTTCATCATCTCTTATAGGGCTGAGAGCTTGTTGAATGGTGGTGTCGTTCATGACTTGCAAGCATAATGGTTTAGGGGTTAAAAGTATAGGATTGAGATTGATGCAAGTCCAACTTAGGGATGGCAATTTCAATCCGACCCGTGGATATCCACTCGAATCCATCCCGCATGGATCGGGTTTTTTTGGGTGATGGGTCGAGGGTGGGTCTTAAAAAAGAAAACCTACGGTGGGTCGGGTTGAATTCGGGTTCTATGTACAAGACCCGCCTAGAACCCCACCCGACCCACCATGTGTGTGTGTGTATATATAATAGTAAAATAAGTACTAATATGTAGTTATTTATAATAGTTTATATAACTTCGTGTATCTTTTTACTATTTTTTATATCAAAACTACTAAGTTTATTTTTAAAAATTAACAATTTAGTTATTATATTTAAATATTTCCATTATTTATGTTTTAGTATCACTAATGGATTTTATTTTTTTTATTATGTCTAAATAATTTAAATATTATTTTTTGAAAAACATAATAAGATGATAAGTGGTGGGTACCCGTAGTGGGCATCCGCACCCGGTGGGGGTGGGGTGGGTTCTGAAAAAGTCCACCCGATGCGGGTTGGAGGTGGGGGTGGGTGGAGAAAATATAAGGTGGGTCGGGTGATGGATGTAGCCCTCCCCGACCCACACCCGACCCATTGCCATCCCTAGTCCAACTACTAGTGAAGCTTTGAGTTATTTATTATGGGCTTTCAATGCGTTAGGAGAAATAGTGAAGAAAGTACGAAATTAAAGGTGGTTTATAGTTGATCATTTTTTAAGATTTGAGAAGAGGAAGACAACGACGGCTTATATTCTTAACTTGTGGGAGCAATTCCACGACTATTAAGTCGAGCTTGAGCATGTTTTTTTTTTTTTTTTTTTTTTTTTTTTAACTCAAGAAAAAACTTTCCATTACTGATTAACCAAGTGCGCAATACAAACCGGTGGAACACCAGTCCAAACCCCCGAGACAGACATAGAAACGGTTGTCTGAGCAAGCGCTTGAGCATGCATTTTGATTCATTAGGAAAGTCAATCATTTTGCAAATTGGAAGTTATATTGTTTTTAAGTAAAATATTTGAGATTTTAATATTTTGAAAATGTCAGGGTGACGTTAAAAAGAAAAAACTTTTTATCCCTCATAATTTTTTCCCTCCTAAATTCTTAAATTATAATACAAAACAATGAGAATGAAAAAGACAACATATCAATGGTAATCTACTAATCTATCAACCATTGACACCAAAATCACATTCAACTCGGACAATGTCATATTGGATGGATGACTGGACCTCAGACGGTGAAAATCAACCACCAAAGAACATGGATTTTGTATCTTATATTTAAGGGGTGCCCATGAATTAGCTGACATCACAAATATTTAATGAAAAAAAAGTATTCAATCAAATAGTGTAATGTCAGGAGAATAAATTTTAGTGGGGCGAATATCATTACTCTTTAGGCAATTATTAGTTGTAATAAAAGAGAAAAAGAAAAAGACGACTAAAGTTTGAAGCTCGGCAACGACAATGTGGGGATTGTGCATCTCTTGTACGCACTAATATTTGATAATGTCTGCTAAGCTACTAAATTATCGTAATTTACATCATCTCATATATGTCATCGTAACATTTTAGGAGAATAAGAAAAATAAAAAGAATAAGAAAAATAAAAAAGAAGAAAAATAAAAAGAAAATTGATTAGGATTCCAAAATCCAAATTAATGCATTTTGGCAAAGATTTGAAATTTTGAGTTGTCGGGGTACAAAGACGCAAACACCCCGCATATAAAGTACTGTATAGCGCAATGACATTATGACAAGGTTATCAGGAGTCATTTTATCAGAGCTTCAAAGTGGGAGCGCTTTCGAAATCCCAGATCAAAATCCTAGGGTTTTTCCATCGTCGCGTCAGTCGCGTGTCAGCAACTTAGACGAGGCAAACGCATATAATTGCCTACTGAACTCCCCGCTTTCAAGCTTTCCTTCAACTCCTTCGCCATATTCAGGTACGTTATCTCTCTCCGTCCCTTTATCAACCATCAATTTAATTGTTGATTCGAAATTGGAATATGAATTCTCAGGTAAATTCTGTGTTACTTATTTACTAGTATATGATATGATATGAGTGGCCTGAGCTATGATAGTTTGAATTGTTTTTGCATTGTTGGCTGATTTTCATTGATTTTTTGTTTTGTTTTCTGCTTTGCTTTCGTAGTAAGCACTATTGTTTGCGTTTTTGCTTCCTGTTTGTGTGGCTTTAAGCGTGTATGAGTGATCAATTTTACTTGTAGGTAGTGTATAGGGAAATGAATTCAACGGTGCAGAGAACGCCGAAATCTACAAGGCAGTCATTGTTCTTCCAGGATTTAGCGACGCCTGTTTCTTCTCGAAAATCGTCTGGTAAATTTACGACTCCAGGTCAAGCAGCAGCTGTTTCGGCTCTATGGCGAGAGAATTTTTCGAATTCTGATCTCCCGCCACCCCCTATGTTCACACTTGAAGACCGGTCTGACTTTTCTCCGGAATCTGGGATTCCAGATTATCCTATGTCCTCGGAGGGGAAATCTGATCCTAGGACACCAGTTCAAGGTGCTAGTAGGGATTTTTGGACTCCTAAGAGTAACAAGTCTGAGGCAAGCACGGCATATGCTGTAATGGGAAATAGGGACCAGCATCAGAGTCAACATAATCCTGTTGCGAGCTCAAGTTGGTGGTCACCTGCCAAGAGTGGGGGTAGTGCCGAGCCTGATGATAAGGGGAAGGGCTCACCGGTGGAAGGGGTGGTTCAGCCTGGTGCTTTAATAATGCTACCTCCACCAAGGGAAGTTGCAAGGCCAGAGATAAAGAAGAATTCAATACCCGTGGGTAACCTGGATGAGGAGGAGTGGGTCACTGTATATGGGTATGCCTTTATATCCCTTATTTGTTTAATTGTAATTCTGCTTTTGTCTGTATTGCTTTTAGAGAGACTTGATATTGTTTGACATGAGAATGCTACTATTAGTGTATTGGAAGAACTTCGTGGTGGTAAAGTTGGTATTGCCTGCAAACTTGTTTGTATGGGTTTAATTGTTTGTTGGTCACACTTCCAATTGCTATTGAATTCTACCATGCCACTTTTATTTCCTTGGTGGATGCATAAAATGACTTTACTCTTAGGGTGCTAGTTGTAAAATCTGATGCTTCTCTTCTTACTTAGAAACTGTCCATTACTCCATTATTAAATGACTAAACAAGAAAATGAATTTCAACTTGTGAAGTGTGAGCTGGTTAGCTTTGTAGGTAGATGCCATTTGCAATTTTGCAGTAAGAAAGTTGGAGTATCTAGTATCAGAAAATTTTGAAGGGAAGTGCATCAACATATTTATATTGTGATTTGGGGCCCTTTAACTTCTACTAATTTTTAGATCTGTGTATTTGTTCATAACACCGTACACTAATTTCTAGACAACAGGCTTTCTTTTCTATATTTTCTTTCTTTGGATTATTTATTGTAGTGATTTTTTTGAATCATCATTTGCAGGTTTTCTCCAGCTGAGACCAATTTAGTTTTGCGAGAATTTGAAAAGTGTGGTGTTATTCTGAAACACATTCCTGGTCCCCGGAATGCTAATTGGATGCACATTTTGTATCAGGTTTTTCTCTGTTCCACTTGCCACTGTATGTTTATTAGCTGTTAAGGTACAAATCCATGATTGTTAAGGGGAAAGATTAGCGTCCTAGCTAATGATCTTAGTAATGTTAGCTTTGCATTTGCTAAACGGTCCGCGAATAAAGCAGCCCACCTCCTAGCGAGGGATGCTTTACTCTTGGCTGACCGTAAGGATTGGGGGTCATTGCCTCCATCCTTCCTCCTTGATGTACTTCTTACTGATTTGTCTTAATATATTCCCGCGTTCTTCTAAAAAAAAAAAATAGTTTGATCCAAGCCAAAAGTACTTGAAATTATCATTGTTTGAGAAGTTATTTTGGCTTGTTAGGAGTTTGATTCGTGGATGCTATTTCTAGCTGACATACAGAATTGTCATATTTAAAATATCCATACCTTTGATCACTGAAATATTTTTAGAGAAGGGAACCACATTCTTACATGTGCACATGTTGCAAATCTGTCTCTGCATGTTTGATTTCAGCTGTGTCCTGAAAAAATGTATCCCATTTTCAACAGATATTCTATTTAGTGATGTTAGCTTTAAGTTGTTGCATAACCTTATGAATTATTTTGCTTTTACTTTGGCTTGTGCAATAGAGATACTAAATAACAAGGAATAATGTTTTAGGACTATGCTTCCTGATGGATATCCCTGTTCATCCTTAATGTTATTCTATATTTATAGCATTATTTCTCATTATATCTTTTTCTGGTACAGAATCGTGCTGATGCACATAAAGCTCTTAGCAAAAATGGGATGCAAATAAACGGAGTTCTTATTATTGGAGTGAAACCAGTGGATCCAATGCAACGTCAAGGCCTGACCGAAAGGCTTAACAATCATGGATTTGTACCTTTACCCCTTGCACCCTCGAGCAAAACCCCAGATTCTATCCCCTTCAGAACGTCTTCACAGCCACACTACCTTCAGAATGGCAGTAGCAGTGGCAGACAGTCTGCTGGAACGGTCGCAGCACCAGCCAAATCTGTAGTGTCCAAAGTCATGGACTTAATGTTTGGCGTCTAGTTGCATTCTCAGCACTATATCATGCCATGCTTCCTACATCCTATTGATCTTTTATATACATTGCTTTTCCAAGATGAATCACAATTGTAATCACATCGTGCCCTGTTGAGATTTGAATCTGTATTTTGCGGAGTCTTTTTCACTTAGGTCGGGTTACTTGAACAAAAGATGGTATGCTATATTTATATGTTGAAATTCTGTCAAAGTGACAGGTTGAAATCAACTTGTTATTTCTTGTTTCTCTGTTAATCTGAACCTTCTGCTCATCACAGTATGTTACTGAAAATTTTGGGGAAAGAGAAAAGCAACACGACAACTCTGTTCTGTCACCGGGAGCAGATTTGTTCATATGAATATAGGTGTTGGTTTACAATATTTTCAGTGTCGATGAGCATTTAACAAATATTATGAGGAATTCTACTATATAGACTTTTAATCTGTACTTCCTCGCTAGAGATGATAAATTATATTCATTATGTGAGTGACGGATTAGAACTTGGAAGTCTAAGTAGTATTATCAAATATTTAGAATGTTTAATTATATTATTATAAATTATAAATAAATAAACTTAGAAGTAATGCAAAGTGTGTTGGGCCCATAGATATATATTCTTTAAGCCCAGAATTACCTGTCTTTCTCCGCCTTCCCTCTGGCGGCCATATCCGTTTCATCCGCCAGCTGAGCTGAGCTTCTCTGGAGGTTCAAACTTCAAACCGGGCCGAGTCGATAGAATGCAGAAGAGATTATTGAGCTGCGAAGCCGAGTCGATGGAGATCGTTCTGGTTTAGACTATACGTGTACGTAATTACTCAGAACCTTCTGCTTTCAAATTTTCACTCACATTCACGATGAGCAGTCGGAGCACACTCACTTCTTCTTTCCTGCCCGCACTTCCTTCCCCCAGCAAGCCGGTGTATGGCAATATCGTAATTCCGTTAAGAATTTCCTGCAATTTTAGAAACTCGGAAGCCGACGAAGAATCTAACCTCAGTCAAAATCGATTGCATTTACTCAACCTATCAGTAACATTAACTGTTATCTCAGCTTCCCTGGCAAAACCCTCGTTAGCAGCTAGAGTCTCCGAAAGGAGGCGTTCGGGTAAAAAGTCGGAAGCTTTGACACCCCAGGAATTGGAGAAATGGTCACGAGGTCTCCCTACGGTGAGCCGTAGGCTCCCGTATACGGAAATTTTGGATTTGAGGAGGGAGGGCAAGCTTAGGCATATAATTAAGCCTCCTAGTGTAGGGCTAAAACAGCGGCCTGAGGTTGTTTTGGCTGTTTTGGAGGATTCTAGGGTTGTTAGGATCGTGTTGCCTTCAGCAGAGACTGATCCCAAGTTTTGGGCGCAATGGGACGAGTTGAAAATAGATGGACTTTGTATGAATGCCTACTCCCCACCAGTGAAGAATACGGACGTTACCTACCCTTATTTGGGGTTTTTGGGAAGAATTCCAGGTTGGATGTTTTCATTTGTGAAACCCAAACCGCAATCAAAGAAGGCATTAGAGTTGAAGAGAGTAAGGGAAGAGATTAGGAAGAGTGGAAAAGAGGAGATTGAGAGGACGAGGAAAGAAAGAGAGAGGATGGAAAATGCAATTAAGATGCAGAAGAAGATGGAAGAGAAGAAGAACAAGAGGAAACTTCAGGAGGCTAAGTATAAGGCTTCCTTGCGTCAGGCAGCAGAAAATTCTGAAAAGATGTCAATGATATGGTATGAGTTAGCTACCGACTCGAATGTTACAACAGCTCTTGGACTTGTGTTCTTCTACATATTTTATCGAATTGTTGTCTTAAATTATAGAAAGCAGAAGAGGGATTATGAGGACAGATTAAAAATACAGCAAGCAGAGGCTGATGAGAAAAAGAAGATTAGAGAACTGGAAAGAGAAATGGAAGGGATTGAGGGTGATGTTGGTGATGATGAGGAAGGACAAAAAAGTGAGGAAAATGAATACATGAAGATGGCAATGCAATTCATGAAGTCTGGTGCTCGTGTTCGAAGGGCTCGCAGTAAGAGACTTCCCCAGTATTTGGAAACAGGCGTGGATGTGAAGTTCTCTGATGTTGCTGGGCTTGGAAAAATCCGGCTGGAGCTTGAGGAGATTGTAAAGTTTTTCACCCATGGGGACATGTATCGCAGGCGGGGAATAAGAATACCAGGTTAGAGTTCTTTCAAAATATTCTTTTTTAAAAATCTTTTAGTTACTCAGATGCATTTCATTTTATTGCCTCCTTGCTTTAATCACTCATAAATGTAAAACTAGTTACCTTAATAATTGCTCTATACTCCATTATTTATTTGCTGTTTGTAAATTTTCAGTTTAGCTTCAATAATATAAACTCAAATGGTCAATTCCAATATAAGTGATTGCATTTTGGTATGTAAAGACTCACTAAAATTCTATTTTATGCAATGCATTTTCCCCCTAAATTCCTTTTTCTGAAACAATTTGAAAGGGTCAAATGCTGATTGCTGCCTAAATGCCTTCATTCTTATTGAGAATTTGCAGATTGTGTATTGAACTTTACAAAAGAGTAGGCAGTCACTAGGAGCTTAAAGAGTCCATAATTTCATCTATGCCATATTGCTATTTATAGGTTTTTCATTGTCCCAAAATCAAATTCTACTGGACTCTACTGAAGGCATTAATTTTTTAATAAGTTTGCATTCTTTATTCATAGCATACATGATGTTTGCATTCTTTATACATAGTCTATCCGTTTTTACTGTATGCACCCCCCCCCTGCATTGTTTGCCACATTAGTCTGGCATTGTTTGTACTGTCCTAATAAGCAATTACCTGATAATGCTTTAGGAGGAATACTGCTTTGTGGTCCACCTGGGGTGGGGAAGACATTGCTAGCAAAAGCAGTTGCTGGGGAGGCAGGAGTGAACTTCTTCTCAATTTCTGCATCTCAGTTTGTTGAAATATATGTTGGTGTTGGTGCCTCTCGTGTCCGAGCACTCTACCAAGAGGCTAAGGAAAATGTAGGCCTATTTTTATCTCCTTTCACTGCCTCATTTCTGTCTTCTTATGCATTTCTTTCTCATGGGATTGTTTTGTTGCTACTGCAATATTTATATCCACCTGAGTTGTTGATAATTTGTATCACGCCCCTGCTCTTTTCCTTTTCTGGTGTGGGGTTTTGAGAGGAAGGGTAACTGCGTGAGGGTGTTGTATTTCTGCTCTAATTGCATCCCTTTCTTAAATGTTACAAAACTTGGTTACCTTATTGAATCTCGATATAACATGATCCTGGTTATGCGGATCTTAGGCACCATCTGTTGTTTTCATTGATGAGCTGGATGCTGTAGGAAGAGAGCGTGGTCTGATTAAAGGTTCTGGAGGGCAAGAACGTGATGCCACTTTGAATCAGGTCTTGGACACTTGAACTTATTCCTTTCTGCTGATTAGAATATGGGCTGCCTATGTGAATTACCAATTTTTGTATTCTGCTACAGCTTCTTGTGTGCTTGGATGGGTTTGAAGGCAGAGGGGAAGTTATTACTATTGCTTCTACAAATAGACCTGACATTCTGGACCCTGCACTTGTTCGACCAGGACGGTTTGACCGGAAAATTTATATTCCTAAACCTGGTCTTATAGGTCGTGTTGAAATTCTGAAGGTGTGACACTTTTAATGTATAATTGGTATTTATACTACTATATTTACTCTTAAGCTTCTCTTCATGTATTTTTTTTAAATACTTGTAAAAGGTACATGCTCGTAAGAAACCAATGGATCCAGATGTGGACTATATGGCTGTTGCAAGTATGACAGATGGAATGGTTGGTGCGGAGTTGGCCAACATTATTGAGGTTGCTGCTATCAGCATGATGAGGGATGGACGAAAAGAGGTATTGGCTTTTGAATCCATTATCCATGAGTTGAAGATTATTATTATGAGAGCTGGCTGCGCAGCTTTGTTATTGTTTTTATGAATATAGTGCTTGTTATTACATATTTACTTGATGCCACCTTGTCATTAGTCAATTCTTAGTATCTGTGGATTTTATAGGATCTAATTTAGGAAGAGAATATTTTCTATCTATATTTATACCGCCTTTTTATTCCTCGACTTCTTTTAGCCATCTTAGGCTCTGAATATATAGAAAGGGCTAAGATAACTGCTTGTCTACTTCAACTTTCCTGGGCTATAGTGCATAGTCTTTTAGAAGCATTAGTACTTGGTTACTTACCTCAGGTGTCTTGTTCATGAGCAACTTCTGATAATGGATATTACACTGATTAGTTTTAATTGATTTACTTATTGCCTTGTAAATTATGTTGAAGATTTGATGACTAGAATGTGTCAATGTGATATAAATTAGGATAAGGTTCTAAAATGTCTTACATGTTACTTCCTATATTATAGGGGCGCACATATTGCCTCCAAGAAATTACATACACCTGAATTGAGAGTGGGGTTTAACCAAAGTTTTTCAAGTATAAAATGAATGTGTTGACATGGACTAAACAGGCTATAAATAGATTTTAATGTTGTGTCTATACTTTAATATAAGTACTGATTATTCTCACACCTAAAATTGAAGGGAAGACTGTTAGATTTTACTGATTATTCTCATACCTAAAATTGAAGGGAAGACTGTTAGATTTTTTCATGGCCTCTTGGTGGTTTGATGCTCTGCTACTTTGGGAACTTTACTTTAACCCAGGGGTTTGTCATTTATTTATTTATAGATTACTACGGATGATTTGTTACAAGCTGCACAAATAGAAGAACGGGGTATGCTGGAAAGAAAGGAGAGGAGCCCAGAAATGTGGAAGCAAGTAGCTGTGAATCAAGCAGCTACTGCTGTTGTTGCTGCAAATTTCCCTGATCTCAAGAATGTTGAGTTTGTAATGTTCTTACTTCAACTATTTCCCTTTTTATAGTTCCTGGTTATTTTTTGTTGTGTAATTACTGATACTGATGAAATATTAATACTTGCCCTGAGAAGATCACCATTGCTCCACGAGCTGGCACGGAGCTAGGCTATGTGCGAATGAAAATGGATCATGTGAAGTTTCAGGAAGGATTGCTGAGGTATATTTTTTGAGAGCCTTGTATTTTCGTTATTGACTTGCCTGTAAGATTTAGTGCTGCTTGATCTTCAACATGTATTTGGTAAATCATTCAGTATTTAAATTTTATGCAGCCGCCAATCCCTCTTGGATCACATAACTGTTGAATTAGCACCACGTGCCGCTGATGAGCTTTGGTATGGAGAAGGCAATGTAAGAAGATCTATCCTATATTCTGTATTATTAAAAGGTTCTAAATGCTTTTCTTACATGCTTTAGATGATTTTATATCTCACATGTTGGAATCTTCCAGCTGAGTACAATATGGGCAGAGAGTGCAGACGTTGCCCGGTCCGCTGCAAGGACTTTTGTTCTTGGTGGTCTATCGGATAAAAATTATGGTTTGTCCAACTTCTGGACTTCAGATCAAATAAATGTAAGGAATTTCCCTCTCTAAAAAATATTAACTAGAAGAAATGGAGACTTTTTTTTTTTTTTTTCTCTTTGGACTCCCTTGTTAAGAAAAAAGTAAAATGCTACTTTCCTCGAATATTTGTCACCGAAAATTTTCCCAAATGACGGGACATGCGATAGGTGCCAAAACCTTTCATATTTGTTGGCTACCCCCATAGGTTAGCCAACTCCATTAAGAGACGCCATTTGGGGAGTGTAGTAGCATCCCTTGAAGAAAAAAGAAGCTAAATATCTGTGGACTTAGTTCCTTGACAACAAGAGTACTAGTTTCTCTGTAGATATAGAGTAATGCTTTTGCCTGGGACCGAATTCGTTAACAAATCTTGGTTTTCAGGGCATTGATCTCGAGGCATTACAAATCTTAAACATGTGCTATGACCGAGCAAAGGAGGTATTAGCTCCATAAATCATAGTATCATCTGAATCCCAATTCCAGGAATGTTTCACTAAAATGTGTTAAACATAACCTCGTTGTCTTACAGATACTTCAGCAGAACCAAAAACTCATGGATGCTGTTGTCGATGAACTCGTTCTGAAGAAAAGTCTAAGCAAGAAAGAGTTCCTCAACTTGGTGGAAATTCATGGATCCCTCGTTCCAATGCCTCCCAGCATAGTCGATTTAAGGTTAACAAAACGGTTGGAGCTGCAGCATATATTAACAGAACAAAAGTAAGCCATCCTCGTAAAGTGGATGACTATGAGCAGAATTTAAATGGCTTCCAAGCAGACACAGTGCGGCTGAGAGATGAGCTGCAAGATGAATCGAGTTTTTTCCTTTTTCAAGATGAATTTTGCTGCGAGTATCAATCCCTGATGATGAACTGGAGATCCTAGAAGCAGGTAATGTGTGCATAGAATGAAAGATCTTGTTCCTTAATTCAATTTTTGTAGAAATCATGTTTTTGCTCTGCAGAAATTCATTCTCTTCAATTAGGTAGTAGTTTGACAACAGGAAGGGCCTCTTTTTTTTCTTTTTTTTTTTTTTGGAAATCAAGAAATGAATGTTTATGTACTGGAGAGACAATTGTTCCTCTATTCCCATATCTCATCAATCAATACATATCAGTTTCAGTGATGAGGAATAACAATTTTTTAGTGTTCAACTCAAAGTAGTCTAATCACAAATTAATCAATGGTTTTAGACAAATATTATATTTTATTATGTAATGACTTGCAGCTCATATTATGTGGGTCATTATCTCTAAACGTGTTTATTATATGAAGTATCTCTTTGAAAAGTACATGTTGGATTAGTATAATACAAGGCTTTGTGATGCCAACTCCAACCGACTTAGTAACTAAACCGTTTCAAGTTTAACTCCTTGTGAGAACTATCTAATGAGTTGAGTCGATCAATTATTATTATTATAGGTAACTTAAATTGAGTTACTTAGCTGTTGTAGAAATACGTAAGTATTTATTCCAGGTAAATCGAGGAACTTTAGGGCTATATATGTAGCAATGACAAGTGGCAACATACATACATATATGTATATATACTAACTTGGATCACGGGCGCCAAACTTCAATAATGAAGCAAAGCTAAAAACCAACCTAACTTTATGTACTTTTTGCCAACAGAGAAGGTGGCTCTTCATTGATTAACCATTAAAACCCATGTCCGATCGATCTACCAATACAACGCAATGCTGACCCTCATACCTTAAAACCCATGCATGCTATGCCTTTTTCCTAACATTAAACATGTGGTGTTTTACGTGCCTTGGGTAACGTAACTCCCCTCTTTTCTAACCAACCAACCACCTTCATTTTCCATAACTATATGCTTCTTTCCTTTCTCGATATGCATACTCACTCACTCTTCAATTCCCATCTCCATACTTAACTTTGTCCAGCACGTATACAGCTCAATTGGTCAGTTAACTAATTCAAAGTAAGGTTAACAGTTTGCTTCACTGGTAACGCAATTATAGATCTGAACCCGACTAATCGATGACACTTTGAAAAATCTGAAGCTAGATGCATCATATCTAGTGATTTACTATGAAATCTGAGATCGATCATACAGATAACGCATCCCAATGAGCAACCTACTTCGTTGGCAACTTTGGGTTTGAATCCTATATATTAAGGACACTTATAAATTGTATGATAATCAAGAGCAGGTGGGGCCTTGGGTTTTGGATGTAAACTTTAATTTTTATTTCCACACTTTGTGGACCTAAATATATATCTTATCACCAACTAGGTTAGTACTCAGCTGATATGACTAAAATTTATTATAAAATGATTTTATTTATTTGAAATTATGGTGCTAAACACTATAGAGCATTAGAGTGGCAATGGCGAGATGACATTTGTGGCGTTATAAGCATTGATCCATTGAACTCAAAGTGATTGAGACTTGGACAGCTAAGCTCCCACTAATTAATAATACTGACAATATTGTGGTACGACAAACCTCCGTAATACCTCGCCTTGTACATATTCCATTAACGTTTCATTAACCACAATTTGTACATACTAATTTTTGTTTAGCTAACACCCAACTCATTGTTCAACTGAAAAGCGCGTGTAATATTTTTATTTTTTTAATAAGAAAGGACGGAGATACCCAAACACAAACCCAGGCCTCGGGTAGAAACTATCATTGGCTATTTCACACCGATTCAATCATCTATCAAGATTCGCTAGATCCTAATTCGAATAGGAATATTACGAGAGTAATTATTAGAGTAGGAGATTACCCTAAAATGTAGAGATTAATAATGCTGTCATTATCAACCACTCCCAATAATATAAAATCTTGATTGCCCCTAAAAAGTTTAATGAATCTTTTGGTTGCAGACTGGGTTTTCCATGGAGAATGATTAGATAAGCAAGAGAAGAAGATGTCTTTACTTATTTGTCACTTAATTAGCTAGCCTGTCAAATTCTTGTCCTTCTGCCTAGGTGTAACATATATAATTAAGAGTGTTAAAGTTACTCCATATTAATATGCAAATTATTCTGTGAATCCGGGTTTAAATGTTCACAATTTACCTTTTAAAAATTTACAATTTGTATTCTATGAACACACAATGTTAAAATATATGTAATTGATTACTTTGTTTTGTATTTATAAGTTCGTTTCCATTACTGCAGTCACACAATATTAATAGATTAGAATTTGATGACCATATATTGTATTCACAAATTTCCTTCTACAGTTGTTATGTGTTTTGACTTAAAAACACAATTTTATATTCTAGAAATTCACAATTCCAATACTAAAAATACACAATTTATACGTTGTTTAGAACCAAATTCGGTATAACAACTCATATTAATATATATGGGCCGGGATTAAGTGTCCTAGGTGGTCTGTTTTCTATTCCAAGATTGTTTGTTTGCATGTGAGTTAGTTAGAAACTTCAAGCAGCTAAAATTATGGATTTATTATAGATTAAGGTTGGGGGAAATTAGTAATGACAACATTTGCATTGCTTGGTTGTACTACTTAATTAGTAATTACCAACTTAATTAACAAAGAGAGGCAGTTGGTGATTCCTTACTAATTATCCAGGGAAGTTTTGGAAGGTATGTGTTTATAGGCAATTTCACTTGTGCAATTCGGGGAATATTTTTAGTAACTTAGCTTATGGGGAACATTAAGTTAGGAGCCAAATCTTAACAATCACGCAATTATGTAATCAATTAGATATCACACGATTGTTACCTCGAAAGGTGGTGCACGATTTTTGTATTAGAATGTGACAAGTTTAATTTTGTCGAACTTATGATATAAGGCATTATTAGTGTGCCGTTTACTTTTCCTAAGTGTGGGTTATAGTGTGTTGTGACTCTAATCAGCAAAGGACCACAAGTAAGTAAATCAACCTAGATTGTGCGGCTCAATCCAATAATGTCAATAGATAGCTCCCACATGAAATTAAACTTAAAAAATAGTGTGTTTAGAGTTTTTTGCACTTTTGGTCGCACGACTATAATGACAATAACATGATTGATTCGCGACTTTCAAACCTTGCAATTTCAATCCACGATTATTTTTGTTGTTGCAATAATGATCCTTCCGACCGATGTTTACATTGACCTTGCAATCTTGGACCGATGTTGACCTCTTATTCTGACCAAAATGCGAAAAAATCAAACCCCCCAAAAAAAAAAAAATTTGCCAGAAACGAACTCTAATATGCTCTCATCTCATCAACCCATCTGCGAACAAGAGGAAAACATCGATTGCCATCTTCAACACGCCATCCATTGCTGATCTTCATCTTCTTTATTTTGAAGGAAAACATAATGGCTACATCGTTGATGAGATGAGAGCAGATTAGGGTTCGTCTTTGACAATTGAGTTTTTTTTTTTTTTTTTTTTTTGGTTTTATTTTTTCGCACTTTGGTCAAAATAAGAGGTCAACAGGAGTCCAAAATTGCAAGATCAACGTAAATGTTTATTTTATCCCTGCTTGAAATGTGGATTTTTTTTCTCGGTGAGATTTTGACGGAAAATTGGCTGGAAGGACCATTTTTGTAACAAAAAACAATAGTCGTGGACTAAAATTGTAAGGTTTGAAAGTCGCGAATCAATCCTGATAATATCACTATAATCGTGGAACCAAAAATGTAAAAAAAAAAAAACTCATTGTGTTTATTAAATCAATTGTCTAACCAACTCAATTGCAATAGAAATGTCTAGGAGGCGAGCAATTAGTAGAGGGGCAGTAGGGAGATTAATTAGAACGGTCCTACCATTTCAATTGCACTGTTTCATCGGACCATGAGCCGATGTTACCTGTTTGGCTGGCATCCAAACTCGTTAGAACTAGTAATTAAAACTTGAAGTGTCTATGTCACCAAAGGGTACAATAAAAACAAAGGCGCCAAAGGTTCCACAATAATTGCCTCATCACTTAGAACATTAATTATATGATGGTGGGAATTTAGTACAAACTCAACCAATTAACAAATTTTACTTGTTTGACATAAACTGCCCCTGTCATCACCTAATTATGCATACATTAACAGAAAACATAACATTTTACTCCCAAGTCGTCCAAGTGTTTTGTTTTTTCCCTTTGTTTAATTATGGATAATTGTGACTTGTATTTTGAAAAGAAATTTTGCAGAAAGTGACATTCCAACCTATGGTTTTGGTATCCAATGACACGTTTCTTAAGGGCATTTTTGGGTTTTTTAATATTATAGGTCCATGAACAAATATTATTGAAATGATGTGTTTTAATTGATTAATTAATATGTATATTAGGAGACAAATAATGTTGATTTTTCCTCATAATGTTCACCTTCTTACATGCTGGATGAGATGATGTGGATCTCTTTTAGTTTAACTAAGTATCTTTTGACTTTTTGAGGTCTTATCTAATATATGAACATGATTAGTCTCGGTGTGTAAAGTCTTACCATATCTTGACCGAGAAAATCAAAACTCTTTTTTACTCTGTATTTATTAGCCGATTCTATTTCACAATCATATATTGTTACGTAAAGTAGTGATGAATGTTACACGAGAGGATTGTAGTCTCATCTTGACCATTCTATTTACATCAAGATTGGCATTATTATATTTATATCATAAATATTCGTGATAAATTCATTTGTTAATTGAAGGATACACGTCATAATTAAATATATTATGAGTTAAATGTGTATGAAACTCTCTCAAAAGGGAAAAGTTCTCTACATTTTACTAATGTTGTAGGTGTTGCCCGCAAGTCTACTCGTCTAGTGTAAATATATGTCACTTTCTTATATTCAGAAAAAACAAAATATCATATTAATAATATTTTATTTCAGCTAAAGTATTTCAAACAATTTGTTTAGAAGATAACAAAACACTCCGAATTATAATATATGAATACAAATATTTATTTGTATTTATCATGCTGATAAATATTTATTAGACAGAAAGGCAGGGATATTTAATTTAACAAAAAAAAAAAAAAAGATAAACAAGATGGACCGTGGAGACTAAAACATTAAATTAATATATTTTTAAAAAGCAAATAATTAAAAGAGATTGATTGACGCGATTAGTGAGCAGTCCAGTTGAGTGTCTCAAAGCTGGGCGGATTCACAGTCTCGCCACCCGCCGGTTCATCAAGAAAGTGGGCGCAGAGATCATCGTCCGGCAACCACCACGGCGGATACACCCACCGGTCAAAGGCCGCCAACTCGGGCTTGGGCTCGGACGAGTCGAAGCTCCCCTCGTCGTCGAGATTCGGAAGCTCGATGATCTCGCCCAGGTCATCGGACGGTGCCGAAGTTGTTGTAGGCGATGCGGCGGCGGAGGAGGAGGAGCAGAGAGGGTTGAGCTCCTCCATGGCGGCGGCCTTGGCGGCCGCGGCCTGGACGTCGGCGGGCGAGGCGGAAGCCGGGCGCGGCAACGAACCTACGAGATGGGGGAAGTTGAGGAGCGTGGAGTCCCCCTTGATGGCCACCACCGCGACGTCGTGAGCCCGCGCCGCCATTTCCGGCGTCGGGTACGTCCCGAGCCAAATCCGCGACTTCTTCCGCGGCTGCCGTATCTCCGACACCCATTTTCCCCAGCTCCGCATACGCACCCCTCTGTAAACCGGATGCCTATTCCCACTCTCCTTATTCTTCTTCGTCTTCTTCTTCCTCTTCTTCTTCTCCTGCATGGACTGAAACGAAGAACCCAAAGAAGAAGACGAGTTGGTACAGCTTTCAGCCGCTAATAATTCTTCCGCCATTAACAAATGTGTGCATATATGTACATATCATACCCCCATTAACGCTCGCTCGCCATATATAGCTATCAAGAATTGAAGATATATAATTGTGAGGTGAGGTGAGAGAGAGAGAGGGGGGTAAATATAAGTGATAATTGCAGGCCAGAAATGGCAAGAAACAGACAAAGTGGAAAATACCCGTTGAAGCTAGAGAATGACAGGCTACGTGGTTTTACATATAGAGCTTTTAATTGTATAGTATAGTACGTACCAATATATAATTGTAATAAGTCATCTTCTTCGCTAAAATCCACGTATCTGTCGTTGTAAACTGGCCGTTGTGGACGGGTCGGAATTTATCTCTCTTTATTTATTTATTTATTTATTTATTTATTATTATTATTTTTTGTTTTTATTTTTTTTAGATATAATAATATTGGCGTCTGATATAAATTTAGGTAACATTGGAAACTCTTACCTTGTACATTTCCTCCATTGTCCTTTGTTGACTCATCATCTTCTCTACCAATTAACTTGAATTTGTCATATACCACCCAAAAAGATTTAAAGAGAATACCATACCGTATTAAATAATAATTTAATTACACAAAACGCCAATGTGCAATCTGTTGGATGGGTAGGGTCGAGGAGACCGCATATAATATAATTCTTATACAATTCATAATCAAAAGTTTTTTTTTTTTTTTTTAGTGCTATTAACTCACAGAGCAACATTTATTTATAACTATATTTTTAACCTACTAAAGTACAAAGAGTCAATACCGTCTCAGTACCCACAATCTCATATATAGAAGTGTAACTTGGTACCACTAGACCACAATGTCTTGACATAATCAAAAGTTATTAATCAACAAATTGAATACCACTCGAAGGGTTTGGAAACTCATGAACATTAAGCTATACCCCTAGCTCCAAATCATCAACAAAAGAGACTATCTAGATAGTTATTGATGACTTCCTTCTTAGTAATTTAAATCAAATAATATTGCAATTCTTGATTCAATAGCTCTCTTATTGCTACAATGATTGAAACACAAGAGTTTTGTGTTATTTTATCTTGTAATATAGTCTTCAATTTGCTCCAATTAATCACCAATGAATCACTACTTTCCACCATAATAGACTGAAAGTCCTCTGTCTAACTCGATAGTAGTTCATAATAAATCGTCCAAATATGATCTTATGCATTTTTAATATATATGAAACATTTAATTTTATATATGCCTTTGTTTTTTTGTGAAAAGAAAAATATGAAAACTCCACGTCTCAATTCAACCTAATATTAAGAGGAAAATACTATGTGAACTTCTATTTTCTATTCTCACACACAAAATCTTGATATAGTCATTTATATTGAGACTCACATAAAAATATTAGTTTATCCATGCCCGCCACATCATATCAGTAAGTAAAATTTATTATGAAATAAAATTTAAGAGTCAATGTAATATAACTCTATTAAGAGTGGAATAAATTCTAATTCACCAATACCATGCATTCTCGTACGGGAAGTAGGTCCATCAACTAATAATGAAACCTTGTGCCACTTGTCGAGAGAGCTGCATTTATGCGACTATCAAAGCTGTAAACTTGCTGGCACCCATGCACTTTTATCTACCTTCACTCTTCATTGTTGCTCCTCCAGTATTGCAACCGTACTTTGGTTTGTTTATACACATTTTTAGTCTTACCGTTATTATAAAACTTAAGTTTTTGTTCTTCTCTATAAGGGAGATTTGAGGCTTGTGGCGCTAGAGAAAGAGGTTGAACCTTTGACTTTGTGATTAACAGCCACACGCTCTAACTAACTGAGCTACTTCAGCGGTATATTCTTAATTTTTAATTTAATGATTTTATTGACATTACTACACATGTTACAATTTAAACATTTGGTGACATTAACCTCTTATCTCTATTGAAAAACGTTGATAAACAACATATTATGAAAAAAAGATTATTTTTCATAAAAAATCCAATTATTATATATTTATGCATAATTTTTTAGGAGTAAATTGTAAAATTATTATTAAGCCCTTGCACATATATAAATTGTTGCTTACATTTTGATGTTGTTAAGTCCACAGTTCTTGGGCCTTGGTCTAGTACAATTGGATCAGAAGAGTGGACCAATCGGCATTCCAGCCATCTTAAAATGTTGGGCTCTTCCTAGGTTTCTCGAGTAGAGATAGAATAAAGTAATGTCTTCATGTCTCTGCTCAAGTTCATAATAGGCCCATTGGGCATAGAATGAAGCTGACTATCTACCTATGTTGTTTTCTTCTTCTTCTTCTTATTATTATTATTTTGAAAACAAACAAAAACATAGGATTTCATTACCTACTATTTTATACACATTCAAATAATGACCATTACATGTAAAAATAATGTACTTTATATGCATAAAAATTATTAGATTATTATTTATTTTTTCTTAAAACATGATTACAACAAATTATAAGAATAAAATATATTATCTTTGCCTGGACAATAACTAATATATTCGCTCTACAAAGAAAAACAACTATCTTAGAAATAATGTCTACATGCAACATAACCTATCTTCGAAATAATGTCTACATGCAACATAACCTTATAGTGTGAGGTTCGGATGACATAAATTTATAACTGTACTAAGGGACAGTCTCATGCATGTCTACTTAGGCTCTTTAACTCTCATGCATGTCTTTATGTTTTTGAGGTTTTCTTTTCACTTGAAGAATAAAAATAAAGACAAAAATGGTTTGTTTTGGGTTTGGATCAACTTGAAGGGGCAAAAGAATCAAATTTGGATATCCAAACCCCTTATAGACAGACAAAATGGGGAGATCATTTGAAATAAAATAAAGTTAGATGTATATGCATATAAATATATGAGCAAAAAACCAAAACCTAACAAACATACATCTAATGAAAAACTTTTGTTTAATTAAGCACACCTAAAGATTCCTTATCCAACCCCACTCCCAAGCATTATTAATTTTTTTTTAATCCAAATTTATGAGTTCACTTACTATATTTTGAATTCTATGAACCCGCCTTATAGAGCTCATGAGCAGGTAAATTTAGTCAATTTAATTACACTTAATATCAAACTGTACACCTTTATGTACAAGAAGCCTAATCCATCCCAAATGTTCCCTAATTTTTATTTTTTTTTTAATTTTTAAATATTACTGACTCTATTATAATATAGTATATGTTCATAACTACACTCACATCCACTGAGGCTCGAACCCACAATTTGTCCAACCTTGGTGTCATTAAACCACAAGGTCTTCGCGATAAACCCTAATTAATGGTCGGTGCATTTTGGGGACTACACCCTCAGCTCCCTCCGTCTTGCATGCTTCCCTCGCCTCGCCGCTCATCCAAAATGGATTGCCATTTATGCACCTAATTTAACCCTAATTTTTTTTTACCAGATTTGGTTGTCACGGTTGACATAACACCCCCTTAATAATGATGTTTTATCAACTTTGACCGTTGAAAATGGACCCCACTGGGTCCCGGGTTCACATGCAAAGAGCTATCGTCCACAGGAAAGGCATGTTCTTGCCAGCTACGATTTGCGAGACGCAGTTTTGAATTGATTGGCTGTTCATGGATATATATATATATATATATATATATATATATATATATATATATATATATGTATATATATATATATATATATGTATATATATAGAGAGAGAGAGAGATTGATTTTTAAGTTTCAGTACGGGTGAATGCTTTTCGTGCAGTTGTATGGGTGATTAATGTGCGTGAGCCTTGTGCTTAATGTACGTGAGGTTTGTGCTTAATGTCTGTGAGTGTGTAGTGCTTAATGTGCGTGAGTTTTATACTTAAGGTGCGTGAGTCTTGTGCTTAAAGTGCGTGAGTTGTGTATTTAATGTGCGTCAATGTGTACTTAATGTGAGTTGTTGAAACTTTAAAGTGAATGAGTTTTGTGTTTAATGTGCATGAGTTTTGTGCTCAAGGTGCGTGAGTCTTGTGCTTAATGTGTATGAGTGTGTACTTAATGTGAGTTGTTAAAATTTAAGGTGCGTGTGTTTTTGTGCTTAATGTGCGTGAGTTTTGTGCTTAAGGTGCGTGAGGATTGTGCTTAAGATGCGTGAGTTTTGTGCTTAAGGCGCGTGAGTTTGTGTTCTGAATGTATTTTGTTTGTGTGTTTAATATGCATCTGTTGTGTACTTAAAGTGCGCTAGTGTAACGCTTAACGTGAGTCTAACCGCACTACTCGCACCTGATCCCTTCTATATATATATATATATATATATATATATATATATATATATTGATGAGAGATATTGGAGGCCATTATATGAGTGTGTACACTTGATAAACTCTATCATGTAATCTTGTTACCTTAGTCCCTACATAAAGAATCACGAAAAACTAAACTAACTTAAATTATGGGATCAAATTAAGAAGACTAAATATCCCTCTTCTTAAGAGTCAAACTTGTAATTTTATGATTTATTAAATTAACTGACCAACCAAGAATTTTTATAGTTCAGTGGTACTAAGTTATTCTCCTAGAGGTTGTGGGTTCGTGGCTGGAGATGGACTCTCTTCCACCTCACTTGCCCCTATATATAGGGGAGAAAAGTAATGCCCTCTTCGTGCAGTGGCTTCTTTTTCTTTCACCATCGTCAGCTCCCGTGGGTTAAGCTAGACCTCCTATCAAAATGCCGGCTATAGCTTTTGGACGGTTTGATGATTCTTTCAGCGCCAGCTCTCTGAAGGCCTACCTCGCCGAGTTCATCTCCACCTTGCTCTTCGTCTTCGCCGGCGTTGGCTCCGCCATTGCTTACAGTTAACATACATATGCTCTGCCACCTCTTTAACGTTAATCGTTGTTCTGTTGTCTTTGATAGTTTTTCATGCATGTGATATAGAAGTTTTCTTGATAAAGAACAAATGTCCGGCCATGCATGCATGTTACGGAGTATTTATTTAGTTTTGTTTTGGTTGCAGACAAGTTGACGGCGGATGCTGCACTTGATCCGGCTGGGCTTGTGGCGGTTGCGGTTTGCCATGGACTGGCTCTGTTTGTGGCGGTTGCTATCGCCGCCAACATCTCCGGCGGCCACGTCAACCCCGCTGTTACTTTCGGGTTGGCAGTCGGCGGCCAAATCACCGTCATCACCGGCCTCTTTTACTGGGTTGCTCAACTCTTGGGCTCCATTGTTGCTTGCTACCTCCTCAAAATCGTCACCGGCGGCCTGGTAAGTAAACAATGGATATAAAATGCTTATAATATAATCAGTCACACCGCAACATTTCAGACATCTGTCTACCATTATATTTTCTATAAACATAATTTTGTTGTATATAATGTTGCAGGCGGTGCCAACCCACGGTGTGGCGGCCGGCGTGGGAGCCATTGAAGGAGTTGTGATGGAAATCATTATCACTTTTGCTTTGGTGTACACGGTGTACGCCACCGCGGTTGACCCCAAGAAGGGATCTTTGGGAACAATTGCCCCCATCGCCATCGGGCTCATCGTCGGGGCCAACATTTTGGCCGCCGGCCCATTCTCCGGCGGGTCAATGAACCCAGCCCGCTCCTTCGGGCCGGCAGTGGTCAGCCTCGACTTTGCCTGCAACTGGATCTACTGGGTCGGGCCTCTCGTCGGCGGTGGCCTTGCCGGCCTCATCTACGCTAACGTCTTCATGTGCCATGAACACGCCCCGCTATCCTCCGATTTCTAAGTTTTCTGAATATGTTTGGAATTTCGCATTTGAATGCTTGATCTGAGAAGTTCACTTTCCATTTCCGTTTTGTAATAAAGCTAGGGAAGAAGATTGAAATGCAGCATTTTTGGCTCTTCTTCCCTTTTTTGCTTTCTTCTTCTATCTTCTGGTTTGGACTCTGGAGCTGTACATTATGCCTCTCATCTTCTGGTGAAAACTTGCTTTATTATGTTAAAGATGCATTCATTCCCCCATTGTATGCTTTCAATGGAAAATAAATCCTTCAAATGACATTTCCCTTTGATAATAACTCAACTTGTTATGGACTATTTTTTCCACTTATGCTCAGCTCTCACCACTGTGGGATCATTTTCACAATTCCACATTTAGTTTTTAATTATTATTATTTATTTATTTTGTATTTGGTTCTGATCTCCCAACAAAGTTTAAGAAAAATGTAATAAAAATGATAATTAAATCCTAGACCATCTTTAACGGTTTGAGTCAAACTCGCTAAAAAAGATGCTCTTTAACACTCTTTAACGGTTTGAGTCAAATCCGCTAAAGAAGATGTTTTTTAACACTTAACACTTTGAGCTAAGAAGATGTTCTTTAATGGTTTGAGTCAAACCGCTAAAGAAACTCTTTAACACTCTTTAACGGTTTGAGTCAAATCCGCTAAAGAAGATGTTCTTTAACACTTAACACTTTGAGCTAATCCGCTAAAGAAGATGTTCTTTAACACTTAACACTTTGAGCTAAGAAGATGTTCTTTAATGGTTTGAGTCAAACCGCTAAAGAAATGTTTGGTCACTGATACATCAAATAGTTTGGAGTTTTGGGGAAAACGCTAATTAACAACAATATTTTTAAAAAAAAAATTGCTTATTGAATAAATGGAGCTTTGAGGCTTCCTTTTTAATACCCATCCGATGGGTATTGAATTTATCTTCTTTTTTTTGTTATTGTTTTTTAGGAAAAATGGGTATTGAAATTTTAATAAGAGGTACTTAAAATAAATAATAATAAAACCCTCTTGGGTTTGTCTTCGATGTGGGATAAAGTCACAAAGGGGAGCGTGGGCAGCTCTCCTTTGTCTTCTTCTTCTTCTTTTTTTTTTTTCTTTTTTTTTTTTCATTATTATTATTATTATATTTATTTATTTATTTATTTATTTATTATTATTATTATACAATATCCTTATATGTCATTCCGCTAACATTCAATATCTAATTTTACCAAACATTTTTCTGCAAACCGCTAATACAATTCGTTGGTCAACCCACTAATACAATTCGTTGTCCACTAACCGTTAACCAGTATCCGCTGATTGTCAAAGGCCATAATCTAATTGACTGCATTAGAAGAAGATTCTTCAATACTGTTCCTCAGTTTGATGTCCATCTTCTTGGTTCTCTTCAGTTGTTTCACGACACCAATTCGCTTGGAGGAATAAGGAGAAGGAATCTATAGGAAAAAAGATGATTAACCAGGAAGCAGAAATTAGCAGAAAACTAAAGAACAGGAATCAAACATGGTGAGATATATCAGAAATTATGTTTACCAAACAAGGTGTGTATCTCTTCATTGCAGCAAACATGGCTGCATGACCCACAGCAGATACCTGGTAGATGAATGGAAAGTTAAAAAAAAAAAAAACAAAGTTCATCTAATAAGTTGTTGCAAGATTCACTGGAAAATGGAGATCTAGACAATTGATCCTTACAGGAAGCAGCATCAGAATGGTGACAGGAACAAGCGTGGCGATATCAGTTACTGTTTGTTTCATCTTCTTCCTCTCCCTTTTGGTCAGCAGGTGGCCTTTCAGTTGCTTAACAAGAAGCCCAAAAGCATCCGAGATGTCGATGAAGAGCAGCTGAGTACCCATCCACACATTCTATGATACATATGGTGCCACACATAAGTAGTATATATAGCCTGAAGTAAGAACTTTGAGTCTTGCAAGTATAGACTTACTTGACTTGCAGTTATAAGTTTGGCCATGGATTTTCCGATTAACTTCTGGTGCAGAGGCTCTGAGGTCGACGAGGATGACGAGCAACTCAACTCTGCTACCATATCAGCATCCACCACAGCTTCCCTTGACACCTGCAATTTCATTCTTGATAACATCTTTATCTCTGTAAATGAACTAAATTTTGCGGGTAATCATAAAAAAAGATTGCAAATTTACTGTTCTGAGTATGAATTCTTGCATCTGGTCTTTATACCTGCTGCAATCTAGGTTCAAATTGATGTTTTTCCCTCTTTACCAAATCAATTGAAGCTTGCTTCCCCTCCAAACTAAAGGGTGAACTTATCCCACTTCTTTTCAGTAAAGCTGCTGCTGGATCAGCAGATGAACCTTTTTCTGCAATTGTTTGCAGTTCCCTGCATGAGAAAATCAACACTCATCTATCTAATACAATCTTTAAATCACACCAAGAAATACCAATTAACTAGCATACCCTCTTCTGTCATAAGCAGCCCAGAAGTCTTCCAAACAGGTTGACAGCAAACTCTGACTAAAAGATTTCACACAGAATTAGTTCAGAATGAACGAAATGGCGTGTTTTGCAGAGATGTTTATGTTTATCACCTGTGAAGCAAGAAGTCTAACAAATTTGGCTCTAAGGCTTGCTGGAGGGAATTGTTGTAGTGAGCAAATCCAGATATAACATCATAGCATACTGTCAGAACAGTATACAGAATGATTTCGGTTTCTGCTTGACTTGCATGCTGTTTGGATCTTCTTTTATCACAAAACTTGCTAGCATATGCAGCATAAAAGTCGAGCCATCCAATTTCGTCGGTTATCACCTGCAACAATGAATCTTAAATCTTAATACACTGTCGTGGTGTCATCTATCTTCCTTGAATCTTTCTCTGTATGTTAAGAATATAGATAGCTAAGGACTAACCTCCATGAAGAGCTGGTACTGGGCAAGAGTTGAAAATTCTGGATATGTTTGAAGGCTACCACATTCTAAATAGCTGTTTGGAGAGCATATGAACTCCATTTATCGTCATATTTAGGTTAAACCGAGTACACTGATACAAATCCAAAGGGCAAAGGCAGTTAACTACCTGAGAAAATCCATGGTTTGTTCATCGAGATCCTTGATAGCCATTTCTGACAGGAACAACCTTGTCGCTCTTCCCAAATATGCAAAAAGTCCTAAAGTGGCCAAACTATTCTCTTGGACCTGTCAAAAAAAAAAAAAAACTCAAAATTACATTACCAATAACACATGATCTCAAGTTATGGGGTTAAATGACCTTGTCGCGAAAAGCATGCTTGTCTGCAATTGCATTTTCTCTGTGGAATGCATTGATTAGTTTCTTCTGAACTAATCCTATCCAGAATTCCACATCTTCAATGCTTCTACTTGGTAGGATCTTTCTTCCAAAATGAGACAGGAACTCCTCTTCAAACCCTGCCTCGGTTGCTAAATGATGAAATTTATCAATGGAAACCAGACTGTCTGACAAGTTCATGAGCTCTAGTACTGTATCCTCGATTTTAAGCAAAAAGAGAGGACAAGAAATTCTTCCCGAACATAACTTTTGCAGTGCAGCACAACAAGTTATAGCCACTATTATTCCTGCAATTCCACTGAACATACTTGTATGAAGCAATCCATCATAGAGAATGGAAACACGTTTTAATGTAAGTAGCAAAGGGTTTCAAGAACAGACCTCCCCGCGTATTCCATAGACCATTTCTTGAACAAGGGGATGAAAAAACCGGCTATGCGTGGCAGCTCAACCACTCTGAACCACTGAACCAGCTTAGGGTTCCTCATATTTAGCTGACTTTCTATTTGCTCTCCAAGAAAGTTTATGATTGGGGATAGGCTGATGCATAGTGTAAGAAAGAAATTAGTTTCAGTAACTACTACATTCCACAATGAACATCGGTTATGAACAAAGATTCGATTAACTAGAACTTACCTCTCATTAACAGAAGGGTTGTTGCAGCGTTTATGTGATAGAAATACTTCCACTTCTATTGCTGCTTTCAGCAGAGCATAAAATGCTACCTGTGCAGCCATTCTGATAAAATTATTATTATCTTTTTTCTGTTTATCCTGTAGGTCTAAATTTCCAAATTGTTTAACTTGAAGACAGGGAAAATAAGCATACAACATTATTAGTTGCACTTGTATTGACACCATCAGATTATAAAAGCCTTATCTGAGTTCCTTTGTTCTCATGATCTTATACCTGATATGCAATGTTCTTATGCCAAGCATGGACATCTACACCATTCCATGCCATAGCCAGCTCTGCTTCACTTTTACCCAGTTTAAGTGTCTGTGCTGCAGCAGAAAAGCTTCTTGCAGATTCGTGCAATACCCACACGAGACAGTTAACTCGATTGAACTCCATTTCTCGACTGCGACCCTTGCCTAATAAGGGCTCTTCCTGAGGAATGATTTGGTCTGAGTCTTCCATGGATACCATTGATGAGAGTGTTCCTAGAGGAATCTGTTTCAGTCTGGTTTTCTGAGAAAAAGGCCTATAAAGATCATATCTTTGTGGCAAAATGCCATACTTTTGCTCTTTGATGTTTACATTTGATGAGAAGATCTTGTCAGAACAAGATCGGGCTTTGTCCCCTGGATGGACATTTTTCCTGCAACATGAAGGTGCAACCAGTCATATCTCACACACACACATATATATGCAATCTCCTTCTTTACAAAGATTCAACCTTTATCAGATAAAGGATGAATCTTTGATGATTATATCCACAAATTGACCTAGGACACGAGGTTAATCCCATATCAGTTTAATACCCACTACCCAGACCTCCTAATCTCAACCTTAAAACGAGTCCAGAACCAAACTACAATAATCTAGAACATCATAGTACATACAAGAATCACTACATAAACTAAGAACTGGTACATAAACTTTCTTTTGGCACAAACCCAGAAAAAAAAAAAAAAAAAAAAAAAACAGGTAAGAGTATTTGGGGTGGGGGGACTTACAGGTTGCAGAAGTAGGGAGTTGGCAGAGATAAGGGAGAAGCCATTAGAGAAGAAGAGAGAAACCCAGAAAAGGAGTACAGGAGTAGGTGGACAAGGGGAAATATATTAAAAGAATTTGGAGAAGGCAACGAGGTCAAGAGATCAAGTTGGAGAGTTTAATATATAAAAATGGTGTCTTGCAAGGATCCAAGGCGGCGTGACTTAAGGTTGTTTTACAATGTCGGAATCTAGGAATTTGCTCCCTCCAGCAAACTGTTACCAAGTTTCTTATCTCTTCCAGTCTTAAGTGTACAAACAAACGCATCATGAATACAACTATGAAATATATGAAGAAAATGCTCAATTTTGACAGTAATGGATGGATGAAGATTGGAGTTAAGAATCAAACTTCATACAATCTTGGCAGTCTAGTACAAAGCAACTATTTAATTAAGTTTGCATTAACAACTTGAGTTGAAAGTTACATCTTCAGAGTACACAACTATGTTACTGCTATATCTTCTTGATCACAGTAGTTGTTCCATTCTTTGGATGTTACACCTAATCAAACCACAAAACTAGAAGGAATATCCTATACTGTGCACAGTATCTCTGGATTCTCCTTGCAGGAGATTCCCTGCATCACTTCTCGATCTTGAATTTCTGTGCAGCCCTCGGTGCTGCAAAAGGGAGACTCGATTCATTCAGATTTCACCATATTATAACAGCAACAATGCATAAGATTGTAACAAGAAAGGCAAGATTTCGAGTACCTAGACCAATGGCATCTGCACTTTTCATGATTCGTAATTTCTTGCATGACTCGGTGAACATCCTGTGAGAATGACGAAAAGATCAGAGTTGTGAGTTTTAGTGGGAGAGGCGAAATGGTTAAGTACAATTAGGTGAGAGCGGGCTTACTCCCATGGGACATCACCAACAAGCATCCAGTCACCATCCTTGTCTTCGTAAGTTAGCACATACTCTGACCCACTTGTGAGATCAATTAAGTTGGTTTCATCGAGCTTCTTTCGTCCAGGGAATCCATCAGAACTGCATTGTCCTGTTTTGTAAACGAGGGGGAGAGTCATACCAACTGTGAAACACCCGAACATCTTCTGGAGAGCTGATGAGAGCTCCGAATAATTAGCGTAGCTTTTAAGATCAACCTTTCTTAGATATGGAGCTCCTTCCAAGCTAACTTTGACAAAAATGCAACCAGGTCCCGGTTTCGCCTCAACGTCGTTGTTTTTCTTTACGTTGGAGGCAAGGGTGTTCTTGCGAAATGATCTAACAGGTGGCCATCCAACTACTTGCGCCCTGTTACAAACATAATGAATCAAATCTTACCATGAAGCATTATTGTTGAGCATATAGCCATTAATGTGCAATCCAACTATCAGCTTAGCTTTTAGTTGAAATGGAGCACATGCTTCAATTATTATAACCTCCTCCTGTAACTTGAAACAAATTGCAGAAAGTACAAGCCCAG